TATTGATTGAAACGATATCGTTGTCAAGGATCTTGGTTAATCGATGCTTATCACTTAAAATAATCCAAAGATCAGAAAACAATGATGATGTCTTGGAAACTTTGAAAAGCTTGTCAATACATTCATCAGAGATTAAAAGTTTTAATATTTTTTTATTAAAAAAATTGATAATAAAACATGGATTTTTTATAATTAACATTTTCAAAAAACGAAAAAAATTGATAAAGAAAAATTTTATTATCAAAATGGGTAATATTTCAAATTTATTTTTCACTTGTTGTTGTTGTTTTAGACAAAAAAAAAGAATTTTGCTGATAAAACCATTCAAGAAATTTAGCAATATTTTTTATATTCTCTGGTGCTTTGTCAATAATTTTCGGTAACATTTTGTCGATAATTAACTTGACAAGTTTAATATGAATAGGATTATATTCGAACAGTTTATATTTGATGATCGATGGAAGATAAGTAAATAAATTTTTTCGATTCAGATCTCTTTGTATGAATGTTTTACAATTTTCCATTAATCGTTCATCATCATAACAATTGGCCAAATCAATAAGTTCGACTATATTGAATTTATTGATTTTGATATGAAAGTTATGTAACATCATTAGATATGAATAATAGACATCATAATTATAATCTTTGATGGTTACAAGTTTATTTTCCTTCCAATCACCTGAAAACATTTGATTATAATATTTGGATGCCATTTTTAGATAACACTTTGAAACCAATATATGTTTGTCATCGACAATAAACTCGACATCATAATTATTCGGATTATTGAATAAACCAATAAATGAAATTGGATAATGTGATTCGAATGTATAGATGGTTGGTGTTAGGCCATAAGTGATTGGTGATGAGAATATTCCTGCTGATGCAGCAGCGAATGATTTTGTTTGATCATTCAATTTTTGGGGTGATAAAAATTCATTTTCTTTTATTATTGTCCATCTATAATAATGTGATGACTGAACTAAAGCCAATGAAAAAACGTTACAATTTTTACATGCCACACTTTGTACATTTTCGATTGGTATTTTTGTTGGTACATTTGAATCTTGTTGATTATCATTGATAGGGCGCTGACAATAACCCCATCCAAAAATCTGACCATCCTCGAGTAATAATAATGAATGCCATCCTCCAGCAACAATATTTTTGATTGGACTATCTATCAAGCCATCAGGTAACGAAACGAGTGAAGGTGTTTTACGGTTTTTATTATCTCCTAGTCCTAATTGTCCATCATAATTATTACCCCAAGAATAAAGTTCATCCGCATTGGTGAGAGCTAGACAATGGCTTACTCCACAAGCTATAATTTCGACATTATTCAAACCAGTGTCCACAAGTTCATTATACGATGCCTTTAAATTACCGGTCAATTGACCTTGAGAATTCCTTCCCAAAGCGAAAACAGTGCCATCCGTTCGTAACAATAACAAATGACCAAATCCACATGCTATCATTTCAAAATGATCATTACCGGTAGTGATCAATTGCAAAGTATTGTACGTTTGCCATTCAGAATCATCACTACTGGCTAGATACACTAGTCCATCATCAGTTAAGACGACAACAAATTCATTGCCGGATTCAACTTGAATAATTTTTTTGCCATTCAAAATGTCAATCTGTTGTGGTCGTTTGGGATCATGTTCTAACGATAGCCATTCGCATATTACATTACCATATGCATAGGTTGCATCATCGGTCATAAATAGAAAATCATTTTGATCCATAGACATGTCGTATAATCATTGTATTTTAATCTTATTATTTTATTTGTAACATTGTATAT